TTTCATTATTAGACGCTCAAAACATGTCTATGTTTATTATCATTTATTATTTTTTTAAATCGATGAAGTTTTTATATTTTCGATTCAGTTTCTTAATATTATCCATTTAGTTACACAACATATTAAATTATTTCACTCGATATTAAAATAAGTTTTGAAAAGGCATTTTTTATATATCAATGCCAAAGTTTATTCTACATATATTTTAGGGTATACTTTCGGAGTATTTTGATCGAGTTTATTTTTACACCCTTATTTGCTTAAAATTATTAAATAATTTGCTTAAAATAAATTATTCAAGCTGCATGATTTAATGCATTTATAGTATAATAGTAAACGGGACTTCCATCGCATATTCTTAACCTTAATACCGCTATCATTAAATAAATGGAATAAGCTTAGATAAATAGTAAAAGCTAATTTTTTCCTCGTATTAATTTTCAAGGAATAATATGTTTCGATCAAACAGATTTCATTCTGGAAATAGCGAAATTATTGAGTAGGTCCCTTGGAGCAATATCATTCTTATCCTCTTTTGACGAAATATAGGAAAATTAGTTCATATCACGTTGAATAAGCACAATCTGGTGTATAATCATATTCTATCAGAAGATCATATCATATCCTACATTCCTTGAATAAAGTGTTTTTTATTCAAAATGTTTTATTCAAATTTCTTTACTAAATTGCAAATAAATTATTAAGCGACTAAAAAGGAAACATTGTATTTTATAGTTAGAAAGAAATAAAAATAAAAAGATTAGCAAACGATTATTAGCGAAAAAAAGATGAATGAAATTTTATACTACGCGCGCGAAGTCAAGTTCCTTGCAAGTTTATCACATTTTAATATTAATCGCCCCATTTAATCATTTCTTTATTGTCGCCAAATTATTTTTTTAAAATAATTAATTTAAATTTTTCTCAGCTTCTAATAAATAAAAACAGTTGAAACTTTGGATTTTTCAATTGAAAAATATGTAGATTTATATGGTATAAAAAAATTTATACCTTATAATTCAAAATTCTTTCATCCTCAATTTAATTAAATAATAAAAAATAATTAATAATTATTAAATATTATTTTTTTCGTGAAATTATCTTTGGGTAAATGAGTTTTATGAGTGGGTGCAATTTTCTTTAAATTGCTTTATTAGTTTTATAAATATGACTAAAAACGTAAAAAGTGAAATTAACATTAAGGGGTACGAACTTTGGATCACTCTCCTGACCAAACTATGGGGACCATATCTCCCAGATTGCGGCTACTCCCTATATTTCGAAGGTTAAAAATCCAAATATGTAAAAAAAAATACATGTTTATTCAGAGAAAGTACGTTTTAGTGTCTGATTTCGCAACTTAATTACTAGTTAGCACTAATTAATTAGCATATTTGAAGTCACCCCCAGGAATCATTAAGATTGACACTTAGTTCGTGAAAATCCGATCATTAGAACGAAAGTTATTCAGGGTGATTCGTTTTTTTTTTTTTTGCGGACTGTTCCAGATGCAGAGAAAGGTTAGAAAAAAAGTCTAACCTTTCTCCGCATCTGGGTCAATTTAAATGATTGGGCAGTAGAGTGATTTTAAAGTTTTGCTTTCCTTATCACTTCTCAAGGTAAAAAAAGCCTCTGGGTCAATTTAAATGATTGGGCAGTAGAGTGATTTTAAAGTTTTGCTTTCCTTATCACTTCACAAGGTAAAAAAAGCCTCTGGGTAAATTTAAATGATTGGGCAATAGAGTGATTTTAAAGTTTTGCTTTCCTTATCACTTCACAAGGTAAAAAAAGCCTCTGGGTCAATTTAAATGATTGGGCAGTAGAGTGATTTTAGAATATTGCTTACCTTATCACTTCACAAGTTAAAAAAAAGCTTCCAAATATGATTTCTTTAGATGTTTAAGAATTCACTTTTAACTAGTAATTGTAAAGGCTAACAGCATCCAAGAAATATCTTCTAAATTATTGGTAAAAAAAATCGAACATTTTAAAAATGTATCGAGACATGGAGAGACTTTCAGTTAAAACTTTCTGTTGACAGTTTGATTTTGTTTTCAGACATTTTAACGAAAACTATTTTTCCAATTTTTCCTAGACATTTTGGTTATTCAAGGCATTTTAAAGGATTCTTTATGGAAAATCTAAATGTGCCGTAAGCAAAATATTTGTTTGAAGGAATAGAATTTGGTATTTTTTACATCCGTTTCTTAAATTGCAGTTACCAAACATTAAGTTATAACAACAGACATATAAATATTGGTATAAAAGTCACCAAAAAATATAATGTTAAATATTAAGAAAAATGTTTTTATTTTCCCTATTTTATTTAACTCTCTCAAAACTAAAATATTATATTAGCATTTTATGTAATTTTTTTTAAACATTTATGTAAACAGTTATTATACAACTGTAAAGCACTTATTGTTTTGAAAAAATACTAACAATATTTCCGTAATTTTGTATGACTGCTTTAAAATAATACTTTTTAATTTTTTTTTTCAAATTCATTATTAATTTTGATTAATACATTTATAAATGTTATTTATATTAAATATGAAAAAAAATTTAAAAGAGAATTTGGTTTTTGCATACATATTAAATCTCAGAGAATTGCATTTACATTTATTATGACACACTGAGAAATTTTTGTAAAGCATTTTCTCATAAAATTGGAACCAAAAAACATCAAAGCTTCTCTTATCAAACATATTATAAATAAAAATGCATATTAATGTAAAATCCAATTTTAGAAATAAATATTTATTTATAATGCATTTCTTTAAAAAAGTTTCAGTAGTTTAGTAAAAAAGTTTTAGATAAAAACTTTTGTAGTTTTTAATTTAAACATTTGCTTTATGAAGATTTAGTATTTATCATTTACAAATTATGTTAAAAGAGGACATTTAGTAACACATTAATTACAGTTTTATATTTTATAAAACTATTTTAAGAAATTATTTACTATTATTTTTACTTATTATCATTTTTGGTTTTAAAAGTTAAACTTAATAGCTTAGGCTTTTTTTTATGCTTTTCAACATTACTGAACGACTAATCAATCCCAGATTGTTTTTATTATTTAGAAATAGGCAGATACTTTTCTACACAGATTTTAATTTTTTCCGAAATTCCAGTGATTATAACGGACTACAACTATGACTTCATTTATCACTAAGTGATCAGCTTTTCTTACATTAAAATTTTTTACATAAAATAATGAGATAAATTGTATTACCTACAAAATGTGACAAAATTAATATTTTTTAAAAAGTAGAATCAATTATTTTTACCGTTCATCTGTGACTCAATATTTCTAGAGCAGGAAGAAATATGCATTATCCAAGCTAACTGTTATATAAAGAAAATAACTAAAGAAAATAACTAAAAGCAAATAACTAAAGTAAAGAAAATAACTAAAAGCAAATCTTCTCATTGCCTATACTGAGCACATAAAGGGTTTCTTAAATGAAATAAAACGAAAAGTGTCTTTTCCAGTCCGAAACTCTGAAAGAATTACTTGGGTTTCATTCTGAGTTTAAAACAAAAACAAGCAACGAGTAATATTCCCCATACTTATAAAATAAAACGCATTTCAGTTACAACAAATTACTATAATGATTTGTAATTAGCTGGTGTTTTAAAACCTTAGAGGTATTTCCTAAAATTATTACTTTTAATTCTATAAATGAAGTTAATATATGATGGCAAAATCATTGTCACACTTTTTGTAGTAGTATGGAAAAAAGCAGGAGTTAAATAATGTTTTAAAATGAGATAAAATATTGGAAATTAAATCCTTAAGTGTGGGTAAGTAATGATTTTTTTTTTAAGAAAATGTTTTAACGTATAAATAATTATTTAAATATTCATGCATAAAATGTAACGCGATGCACTTTTAGATTCTCTGTGAAAGTATCGTAATAAAACAAAGAATTATAATATTAGATAACCAATACAAATATGAGAAAGATTCATGAATATATCGTGAGTTCTGATTCCTTATAATTGAAAAAATTAAACATTATAGACATTTGAAATCTTAGAAAAAATTAAACATTAATACAAACAATTATTTTTTTAAGTCTGTCAAAATGAAAGGAAAAAATAACCAATCATGGAAAAAAATATTCAATTTGCATAAAATATGAAGAGAAGGAAATAAAATTTTTATTATAGTGAAATTAAATGAGAATTGCATTTTTTTAATTACCATGCTATTTAATGATTGATAAATACTTAGATATTGTTTAAATGACTTTCAATAGCTTTTTAATTCCAACAACTGAAAAATTTAAATTAGATTAGTTTTAACTTATATATTTATAAAAGTACTTTGACTGAGTATTGTGAAGGAAAAGTTAAAAATGGAATATATTTCTTGGCTTTATCCTAGTCTTCAGAACATAGTTTTGTTTTTGTGTTACAAAATGCATCCGCATTTCAGATAAACTAAATTTTAATTATATTTGAAGGTCAGAATATCCTTTGTAGGATGCTTAAAATTATAGTAGAATCATTTTTACAGTAATTGAGATTAGTAATTAATTATGATTTTGTAAAAAAAAATTTACGAAACAATTCAGATAGAAATTAAAAGTATCAAATTTTGAGTATGTTTATTCACAAGCACTACGAATTTAGTTCAGTTAAAAAATAAAAAGATGTCACATAGTTATACTAAGAAGATAGAGTTCGTAACTAAATATTTCTCAAGTTAAACATTATAAAAAAAGGAGGAAACAAGCAATTAGAAGAAAGTTGATTTTATCTTCGCAAAGAGTAGTATTTAAAAAAGTATTTGCCAATTTTTTGTTTAAGAGTAGTCACGTGTATTGTTTTTTGCTTAAGAGTAGTCACGTATATTATTTTTAATTTAAGAGTAGTCATGTATATTATTTTTAGTTTAAGAATAGTCACGTATATTATTTTCAAAAAATAAAATAAAAATAAAAATAAATAATGTAAAATAATGTTATATTATTTGAAATAATATAATATTATTTCAAATAAAATATCTCACGTAAAACTTTTTAAGGAATTTTATTCTTATTCAGAGTGAAATGCTAAAAACATGAAACGCTATGCTCGTATCAGCCAGAATGTTTTGTGCTTGATTCCACGAAAAGCAATTGCTTGGATAATGCTTATAATGGCTGTCCTTACAATATTTTCTTTCTTGGCTATTGAAGTTAGAAGATTAGTTTGGTTAAAAACTCTCACATTTGAAAATCAATCGAACGCAATCAATTTTACTTCAGAAAAAGAACTGATAACTGATGAACATTCCTCTACGAAAAACACAAGTGATTTACCAGAATTGAAATCTGCTTCTTACGATATGATGTACGCAAACACTGAAATTATTCCTATGATGGAATTAACTGTTGAAGGTCTCCTTGGAAAAGAATCTTTTTGCCAAGGGCATGTGTTTTTACTTGTATTAGTGACATCTGAACCGCATCATTTTGAGCAACGAGAAGCCATTAGAAAAACGTGGTCAAATCAAATCATGAGTCATGGTTTACGAACGAGAACTGTTTTTCTTGTGGGAAGGTCAGAAAATAAGTTTCTGAATGTCTTAGTGAAATACGAAAAGGATATATCAAATGATATTTTGGCAGGTGAGTATTTTAACAAAATATTGCTTTCATATGCAAATTATATTATTGTAAAATCTTCCCTAACCATTCATAACCATTATTTATTAAATACTATCCAATATAAATAGCTAAATAATAAACTCTATTAAATACTGACTTTAATGAACAATTGAACAGTTGTGTCTTGATAAACGAAAACAATCTTTTATGCTTGATACATTACAATTCATACGATTTATGAATAGATTTTCATATCATCTTATTTAATTATACTTCATCGTTTCAAGAAACACTATTATTTTATAAAAAAGAGTAACTTTTGCTAATTTTTAGAGCATGGGTTTTGCTGGTATGCCATTTTCCAGGTTAGAAAAACGAAGGAAAAATTAACTCCTAAGTGATAAAAGTATTGCCCTCATATTTTTGTCTGGCACTTGTTAACATTTACAGTTATCATTTTAAAAATGAGTCATTCCCATTTATTGAAATAAAATTACGCTTTGAAAGTATTGAAAGAGTACTGAATGACGAAATTTCCGTCTCTTCAAGTATTTGGGTTCAGAAAGCTCTCAAGGAACAAACTATCATGGTTGAAAAAAACCCGGGAAAGTTGAATTTGGTTTAAGATACATCATTATCTACTATAGAAAAGTTTCTCCAATTTGATATATTATCTGGTTCAACTCTCAGCTGTCTTGTAAAGCTCACATTTTATGTACTAAAACTTCACATTTAGAAGGCGTTAAAGGTTGCTTTTCGGGTGAAAAAGAAATTTACTTGGTCTATATTTATTTATATAATAAAAAGACAGAATTTCATGTTTGGAATTTTCTTACTTATTGAAAACTAAATAATATTTTTAAAGATATTTTGTTTATACATTGAACTTAATATACATTGAAATGTTTATCGTTGAACGTAGCAGACTATATTTAATTTAAACGTTTCTGAATATTCTTAAGACATGAACTTTGAAAAGTTTTAAAAATACTTATGACCTCCAAATTTAAAAATTGCTAACTAAGTTCAATCGAAGAAAGTTTCATGAATAAAATGAAGCAAAAAATATAAATTAGACACTTAATAAATAAGGATTTTCTTGAAAAAAAACTAAATTTAGAAATAAAATTAATTTCAGTGTTTTTTTAAAATTTAAACTCAATTTTAAAATAAATAAAAATAGTATATTGGCAAATAGGAAAATTTAAATAAAATTTTTAACATCTTGAAAATACCATACAGACTGTCTTTTTTGTGACAGCGACATTGTCCTCATCACACTGTCGCTACTCCGTCTCGTTCGCACACAACGTCGACAGGTATACACCTGAGTGCCAATGGCAACATATAAGCGACCACGACCGTGAACTTAAGTTAGCTCTCACTATCAGCACTCAAAGTCCGGTGATCCTAATACAGATCTCTCGACTTTTCACAAAACCACAATGAATCTAGTAGTGGTATACGTTCATCGAATTCTATCACACATAAAATTCTGGGAGGAGGAGTACTGTAGCGTGTCTACCGCTACAATTATTCAATTCCAATTCACTGGTATATAAGACATATTTACTCGATTCTATGCTGCGGAAGGTTAACATTGTCGATAATACTCTAACTACAGTACGTATTTATGAAAAACTTTATAGATTTTAAATTTTAATATTTATGTGTAACCAACTTAAAGAAAAACTATGGGTTTGAGAAATTTGATTTCCTTTTAAATTTGCCAACCCAGGTTGGCAAATTTTAAAGAAGAGTTTTTAATAATAAAGAAGAAGATAATAAAGATAATAAAGAAGAGTTTTTTCTCTTTGAGACAAGGACAAGAGGTGTACACACAAATTTAAAAATTAAGCAAAATGAAAAAAAGTAAACCTAAGACATATATAATGTTTACAATGTCATGACTAAAAGTGTTGCTAAAAATACTTTGAAAGGTACTCATTGACTTAGATTTGGGTAAATATTATCTGTTTAGAAGGATCGATTGGTTATTAGAATATTTGTGGTTTGTAATTTTTCACAAGATTATATAGGTTATATAATAAAAAAATGCAATTAATTTATCGTTTTTTTTTTCTTCTTTTTTTTAAAGCAATTAATTTATTGTTTTCTGGATATTGACCGACAGTAGGAGTGCTATTCAGTATTTCAAGAACTGGCCGGGAATATTCGATATTCCTGCCGGGAGATTATGAAGCTTCTATCTGAGATAGGCCTGAAGACATCAATAAGCCTCCAATGGATCCCATCGCATGTCGGGGTACATGGAAATGAGATAGCCGATGTGCTCGCCAAGAATGGCTGTGTTCTTCCTATGGAATGTTTAAACCGTCTTACTCCCACTGAGATCCACTCCCTGGGAAAACATCGTTTGCTTCCAGTGCTGTGCCGTACTCCATCCCATCAGTGGTATGCCGGCAACCGCCCTGGCCTATCATTAACATGCTGCGGCTCTCGGCATTTCCAATCGGCCATAGCCAGATTTCGTAGTGGCCATCTTAAGTGTTTAAGGTTTCAAAATGGTGAGAAGACTTTTCAACCTTGTTCCTGCTCACAACCTGGAAGTCCTGATCACCTTCTTTCCTGCGTTGGCGCTTCTTTTAAACAGCTGCTGGTTGATCGGGACTTTATCATATATGGGGGACTGAGATATATATATGGGAAACTGACGCGACGGGGCCTTCTGGGGCCCTATTACCAACTCATCGAAATTTACTTCGCTCGGAAACGATTCCGATCGGAAACTAGCTTTCATCGGATTGCCAATTTCGTAATATCCACTTTGCCGTAACATGAGGATATCGGAATCCGGAATCGAAATCGCCATTCCACACGATTCCGGTGAAATTGAAATTTGTAGGCGGGGCTAACTTTGACCAATTAGAAAATTATTATAATTCTAATTTATTAATCTGGCAACGATATGTTTGTATTCACTACTTCTATGCGAGTTAAAATCGCATTAAATTAGAACTGAAAGCTTTAAAATTCATATATTTTCAACAATTTTGTGTTCTAAAAGCCAAGTTTGTGTTTATTTGAAGTACAGAGAGTAGTGTAGAGTGAAATTACAACGCAGTATTTTCAAATGGCTTCACGTACAAAAATTAATATTCGCCAGCAAACAATGATTGTGGAATACCTAGAAAACAATCCAGATTAAAATAAAGGAAGCTTTACCGGCATATCTGGCGTAATTACCACTACAAATATTAAATACCAAATCACTATTATACAAGACATGTTAACTTGCATCCATCTTAAAGTACCTTAAGATAGTTAAAGGTTAACACAGTCGATAGTTAAATCCCCACACATGCATATTTCAAACAATATAGGAAATTCTAATAGCTAACTTTGGTAATTCCCTTTTTTAGCTAAGATTCTATTGTTTTTTGTACATATTTTTTTTATATAGCTTTTGTTATTAATTTCCACAATCCGATATTATTCATTTCCACTACTGAATTTCGCCTATGAGTAACACCATTTTAAAAAAACTAATTTCCAATACAAATTAACTTCTAAATTTTGTTGTCGGGATATTTGAATACCCAAAATCTTTTAGGCCGATAGATCTTTCTCTTAATAGTGTTTCGATCACTCTCTTCAGCAATAGCTAGCTGTATGACGGAAAACAGCGCCATTTTGTTCACTAAAATAAACAAACTTTTATCGGAATCTAGATTTCGCTTACTCTTAAACCTGCCGGAATAGGATTCGTAATAATTTCGCATCGGAATTTAGTTCCGAGCGGAATCAAGAGCTCGTAATACGACTTAACTGACATTCACGGATTTATGACGTCATGAGAGCTTTATTTCGATCGGAATTAGATTCCGTGAAGCTGGTAATAGGGCCCCTGGACCTGGTCTAGGCTTTCCTTCTCCAGGGGGATGTGTAACAACACAACAATTTATCGTTTAAATTAATTGCATTTTTTTATGAAATGTTCTGCAATTAATCTCTTAATTTTCTGGTTTTGAACTCAAATGAGGCTGTCAAATGAGAGGATGGACGTTTTTAATATTACCTTTAGTTTCAAACTATTATGCCTTTTTTTTCTGTCTGATGGAATTGCATAAAAATTTCTTCATGTAAATATAGAAAGGAGAAAAAATTAAAAAGGAAAATTTCTTTGAATGTGTGAATAATCAATTTTATTTTTCGAATTGAAGTCTATACCCATAGTCTATAACAGTGTCTATATCCATAGTCTATAACAGTGTCTATAGCTGCCACCATTGAGGTAAACTGAAATGTAATATTTTACAGTTCATGTGGTAAACTTTTAATTAATTTGTACTCTTACAGTTTAAGTTTTTTAGTCATTCATTTTTTGTTTGTTGTTTACCGGCAAAACATAATTTCATGCTCATTATAATCAATGTAATGCTTCATTGCAAAAACATTTCGTTTAATAAACAAGCACATTTATAGTAATATATTCACCATAATTCTTTTAAACAATTGTTACTTTGTCACTTTTATATAATATTTCACAAGATGCCAGCAGTTCTGTACTTAAAAATATATTTAATTTACCTCAACACCAAAAGTAGTGTTAGCTATACGCTAATAATTTTAACAGTAAAGTAACTGAATCAGGAAAAATTTGAAAAACTTTACAGTTTAAAAAATAGACAAAAAAATTTAATTATAAAACAGTCTATAGCTTTAAACTTTTGCGGTAAATGTAATTATATTAGTTAGCATTTAAATGAACTTTAGCAAATAAAATAAGCAACCTTTCTTTTGATATTTTCAATTTTGTGAAAAATTCACCATGTTGCTAATTCATCACATTCGTCTAATTTTCAGGTGCTTATATAGACACGTACCAAAATCAAACTGTAAAGGTGCTGCATGGATTAAAATGGGCTTTAAACACCTGTAAACCATCATATGTGTTACGAATAGACGATGACAGTTTTGTGAATCTCCCTATCTTAGTGAGATTTTTATCTAATCCATTTCATACTACACATATTCTAACATATTCAAGACAATTTTGGCATGACTCAGGCGAATATATTCAGAAATCAAACATTCCAATAAAATATATAAACGATATTGGATATGTGTTAAGTTTAGATGCTTTAAGTAAGCTTGTTGACTATCTCGATGAAGTTCGATTATTTTTCACTAAGGACGTTTACACTGGCGGAGCAATACATTTATTGTCAAATGCAAGATCAAAGAATGGTGCTCAGCTGACAAATAAATCGAACTTGTGGAATGATTGCAATTTTCACGACTTACTTATTGTCCATCCAGTTAAACCACATCACCAGAAGGAATTACTGGATTTGGTAGTTGAAGCACTAGAGGAATGTCCGAAAAGAGATGCAATAGGTTTCGAATATTGATAGAGGAATATGTATTAATTTTTGTTGTTTTTAAATATTAATCCATTATGCATGCAATAAACTTTCAGCTGGCAATTAGTTTAGTTATTAATTAAATTTAAACAGCAGTGAACACGTTAAGTTTTTTTTTCTTTTAATTAATGCCACAAAAACTTACGTTTTAGCTATTTCTTACAATGTATTGAAAAATAATTTAAGTTTTAAAAAACAGCTTATCAAAATCACTTGATATATTTGACAAGAAGAAATTTAAAAAATTTATTTATTCTTAAAAGTTTGTTTCGTTATGAAATAAAATTCTTAAAAAAAAATAAAAAAAAATACATTTGTATCAATTGAAACAAATTTTGTTAAAGCTATTTAAGCACATAGTGTACTAATGTATTGAAATATTCATTTAAAAGTATCTGAGCAATTTACTGCATTTTTGAATCTATTATGAGAATAGTAAAGATAATCACAATAGTAATAAAATAACTTCTGGTGATTAAAACTGAATGAATGTACTCTTCTTTTTCATATGATTAAATCAATACTTTCATTTTCAATCTGATAATAAAAATTTTTGTATTCAAATATGTATAATAAATTCATAAAATTAAATATTTTTATGTATTTGAATTAAAAACTTAGCTTCTTTATGCACGGAAAACTATTACTATTTATGCTATATGGTTTTTATAATTTTCTAATAATTTAATTGAAGTTTTATTTTTAAGTAACAAAAAGAAAATTAAAAAAAATAATATAAATAGGATTCAACTACAAAATGAAGAAAGGTTACCCATTGGTAGAATGGTTGTTGTCTAATTTTTGTTTTTGGAAAAGAAAATTTATTGTGTTCTTATCTTGGACATCTTTAACTGTTAATCCTGAACTGCTCGGTACACAATTTCGCAGACATATTTAAATGCAGCTCAGACGCATTTTGAGTAAATTCTTTTGATGAATGAATAGACCTTAAACAGCTGATCGAGATCAATATTAACATTTCGGATTGATACAATGGTGTTTGAGGGAGATTGTTGATTGGTGTTTGATGGAGCTGTATCATACAACCATTTCGGATTCACAAGGCCATACTTGAAAAATGATTTGAAAGCTAGGCTTTTTTTCAACTTTACATGAATAGTGAATGAACCCTTTATATAGCGTGACAGACAGTCTACGGTCTTACGCAAATTATTGGATGCGTTGACAATAAATTCTTTTATCCCTAACTGGTGATTAACACACAGTTCTCATATTTGTATGAAAGGGGTTCGGGGAGTCACCATTCACTCTTCGTTAGGGTTCAATTCCTATGTATAATACCTAAACAGAAATGATATATGGACTGTCAGAAATTACTCGAAACAATGGTTAAATAACAATTTATTAAATTAATTTTTTTCCATATTGAAACAAAACAGTCAAGTAACATGAATAAGATGGTAATAAAACGTTAACTGTGAGAAAAACCGTTTTTTAACTGCTTTCACCTAATACAGTTAAGAAACTATAAATTTATTGCTCCAACTAACCCCATCTAATGACATCGCTTAGTTCCTTGCAGATGAGTACGTATTTTAGCCGAAACCGTATTTTAACCTGTAATATGTTACTCAGACAGATCAGCAGAACTTATGTTCGAGTCCCAGCGTTGACACCACAATGCTTCCTCCATGCCATTTTACAGATGAAAAATTTCCAGTGTCTTGCACTCCAATGCTCATTGCACAATGAAAAGATTAGCTGTAGGAGCTAATTTAACTAGAGCTATTGAAAATTTCGCTAATTTATAGTTTGAAATCATGTTAGTTATAAATGGTAAAAAAAACAGTATGACTTTGCATTCATGGTTTTTATATCATATTTGTTGTAATTGTTTTTGAAACAGTGACGGAAAGAAAAAATTGTAAAATTTACAGTTAATTAAAATTATAGACTGCTGTCGGTTTTTAGAATGAAAATTCTAACAATGTAGCTTGAAAAATACCTGAAATACAAAACAGCATGGAGAAGTGTAAGGGTGAAGATTTATTGAAATCATTTTCAAGATGTTGATCGCATTAAATTCCTTGAAAATTTAGAATGAAGTGGTTAGTAATCTTACCATATGACGAGCAATCTGATGTTGTTTAATCGCATTTTACTTAATAAGAGAGCAATGCATGAGGAACTTTGTGAACTTGCTAATTTCTTAAAGGAAAATTGCATATTCCATGGAAGAAATTTAGAAAACAAGAAATATGTTATTAAAGGGGAAACAAAGACAAAGAAATAAAATGAATGATAATACAAAAACTAATAATAATCATGTAATTAGGAGTTTGGAAATTATTTATAAAATAACTAAATAACGTTTTGTGAAGTTTTTTGTTTGTAAGTAATTATTTAGTAATCTATAATGGAATTGTACTTTAAAATAATTTAAGCAAGCTTTTTTATTGAAATGCATCTAAAATCTTTCACCACCGAGATCCTACTTACACTGCACTGTAAAAAATTCTGAAATAAATTACGGTTAAAAATACCGGCACTTTGGGTGCACCATCCGTAAAATCCATTTTGACCGTAAAATATCAAACCGTAATTTTTGCAGTAATATTTATTTAAATAGAGGGAGTCAGTAAATATACGGTAATTATTCATGTATAAATTACGGTATATCAGTTTTTACGTTCCAGTAAAAGCGGAATTTACAATAAAAAGTACTGGTAATTTTTACCCTAATTTGATTCGAAATATTTTAAAGTGTGCAAGCGAGTAAAAACTGCTGGAAAAAAATTGAATTTAAATTATTGAGAGCAAAGAACTAAACCACTTAGCTTGACTGAATAAGACAAACTGAAAAACTGTTTTTGTACGTAAGCATAAGTTTTGTCCCGAAAGATCTATTTTTAGCCAAATGAATTTAGTTTTATATAATAGTACTTCAAACTGAAGAATCACATCATTTGACAAGACGCAAGTTGGAAATGGGATATTTGGAAAAACAATTGCATGCAATGGAAATGGAATGTGTACACTTTTTTAAGCATTTCACAAATTGTTGTGCGATATTTTAAATCCAAGACACAACTACATCATATTTTTCAGTTTACAGTGTCACATTTGACAGTTTTCTATTTTTTCTGTCACATTTCGGACTTGATGGTGCTGACTTTCATTCTTACTTCACTTTTGTTTTTGATTACTTTGTCGTTCGGGTTTTGTTCAATATTTTTAGTTTCACCACCATTCTTGTTGGCAGCTTGACAACTCTTTAGAAAAATATGACATTGTCAGCTCATATTTGACAATATATAAGATTTTGAAAGTTTAGAAAACAGCGCATTTTTTTATTTGAGGATAAAAATAGTAGTATAGCTACTCTTACTTCCTTATAACTAGCATGGAATAAAGCATTTTCTGTGTGTTAGGAGTTTAAAAATAGGAAAGAAGTGTTAAAGGAAATTTCTTTGCAAAAATTTTGAAATTTATTTAATGAACATGGAGAAAAAATATCTGAAAAAATTACTTTACTGTATTGTAATGATATTTCTAGTAGGAAAAATTCAGTTTAATAAGACAAAAAGTAGACTTTATTTAAATCATTAATTAGGTAATTTTTTAATTCAAATGGTAATAGTTTACCGGAGATTTTCGTTTGCAATATTATAGTTCTTGTTACCACTTATTTAGTAAAAAATACAGGAATGAAGAATAAATTTAGCCAATTAAATAATTTTCATGCTATGCCCTGAAGTATAAGGACAAAATTGCCGCATTACCGAAATCATAACGCATTGTATCTTATTGTTAATTTTATCAAAATCATGGCCAAAACGCTTCGTTAAATATGGACAAGATTTTTCTTGGATGTTTTTCGTTTTTCCGAGGCCTAAAGCCAAGAATGCGACTTCAGCAATATACACTTCACATCCAGTTTGTAGGGCGGACTCATTCATACATTTAGTTTTTCAACCACAGATCGTAGCTTTGACCTAAACCAAAGAACGATCAATCTCCATTGAAGTACCTCCAGAGGTATTGATTTGTTATGGAAACGTGGAGGACTTTGTGATCCGACGGATTTATCACGCATCATTCACCATTTACTAAACGGGGAATCTTCGGCTGGAAGGGATCGAACTCGCAACCTCTTAAACATGGGTCTAACGCCCTACTAACTAGGCTATTCCAACATATTTCTTAAAACAATCGTAAACACAAAGTATAAATTTTAATGTACAGTCAAAAGAGTAAACAAATTTGTCGTGTATACTCCCCAAAGGAAAAAAATTGAAGCTATGCTCCAAATTAATGCTATGATGTCTCGTAAGAGCAATAGCCATTAAAATGTAATAAATTATTGTTTGAAGAGCTTTAAATATTTATATAGTTGTTTTCAAAAGAGTAGCGAGACTGACAGATACATAATTTTTATTACAGGAATTAAATGATGACCGAAAGATAGTCGGAAAGATAAAATTGACAATAATTTTGACTGAAAAACAGTAGACAACTTATTCTTCTTCTTAGTTTTAAAAATCTCTTATTTTCAATTTTTTTTTTAAGCAAATTAATTATAATTTATTTACATTGCGCAAAAAACAGAATGAAGCATCTTGAATAAATGAAAGAATCACAGGGAAAGTGCGTTTTTGATCTGATTTCGTAATTTAGAATATGATCTGTTCTAACTAATCTGCATATTTGTGGTTACCCCTTAAACCATTAAGATTGAGCCCTAGTACGTGCAAGTCTGATCATTAGTTCAAAATTTATTCAGACTCTTTCGTTAAATTTGAGCACCGTGCAAGTACAATGATAACATTAAAACATCATTAGTGCATAAATTTTAAAATATACTTTTACAATGTCTAATTTAACTAAGTGTATTAAATGAATAAGATTTTACAGATGAATAGATTAATTAAGCCAACATAAAATTCTATAAATTTAATCAATTTCATAAATAATAAATATTAAGCAGCAGTGTATATGTTACCGACAAAGTATGAAATCTGGTATAATGCCTAAA